AAGCTTTCCCTCCTATTCTTTGCAAACGAATGTGCCAGTCCACTACGCAATCGATATTCCTGTCTACGCTTGAGACGACGAACCTCGTACTTGTATCTCTTTTTTGCGTGTTTCTTTATGGTGGGCAGAACACCAGCTGACGGACATCCAGCTTCAGTCCATATTCTATGCCAGAGAATTGAGGCCTCCTTCAACTTTAAAGCACTGTCGTTCTAGCCATGAATTCTCCGTGAGGATGATGACTTCCTAGGAAAGCAGCAGAAAGCACAATCCAGTAAGGTAGAAACAATGTGGCTCGCATAATCATCAAGTAGACAAGTATGAGCAGTGCACTCAGGCTGGGAACATTGCTAATTGGAGGAGCAGACAACCTATCTGAAACCATATCCTGGTACATCATGATGGAGGATTGAGTAGCTTTAGACCAGTCTATGCGAGCTGTAGGTTTAGAAGTAGTAGATGGCGTAGCATTTATTGGAGTACAGTGCATATTCAGCAAAAAAGAAAGAGGGAGATGATCAGAAAGGTTAGTCCCACATGTTACAGTATGTATATCAGTAACAAACGAAGAGAGTGACTGTGAACACACAACATGGTCAATCCAAGAGTGCACAAGACCGTCATCTCTCTCATAGGTGAAATTAACCGACTCACGATAAGAAAGATCACAAACAACAAAATTATGTTCTGAAACAAAATCAGAAAGCAAACTTGCCAGTCTACCACCACGATCAAAATCAACATTGAAGTCACCAGCAATTAGGGTATAATCACACTGTAAGAATTGGTGTAATCACACCACTATTCCAACCACGACAATTATATGACTACAAACGAAGTGGAGCCATTATGATGTATCACTATCACCCTGGACAATGGTAGAAGAAGATGAGGTGGAGGAGTTGGACTGGGCAGGTGACAGAGAGCGAGAATGGTCAAGAGTGGAGGCACCTGGAGAAACGAGAGTGGGACGAGTGGAAGGACGCTTCCTAGAGTTGGAATCCATATTGGAGGTAGGATTGAACACATTCGATTGTGAGTTACTGCTTTGAGAAAGAGTAGATGAAGAGTCTAGGACGGGAAATTGAATAGAGACTTTCAAAGGGACCCTCATACGAAGCTTGTGGTCAGGAGGTAGGTCTTCTCGAAGGAAAAGTCGGGGTACTTTAAAACCCTTCAAATTACTCTTGCGGAGCAAAATTACTTTACGATCTCGTAGAGTAGTGAGTTTTATCAGTACAGGTTGTGGCCGCTGACAGCCTTGAGCACCCCTGGAACTATCAAACTTTCCAAGCCTAATTACATCTTTTACAGAAACTGTTTTACCAGCAAGAAATTCCAACATCTCATGAACAGATTCCTTTGTGTACCTACATTCAGGGAGACCAAAGAGAATGAGGTTGCAGTCGCGACTATCAGTAGTAGGTGGTGACCTAGCTATACAGCCACACGAGATTTCTTAGGAATGGATGTGTTTGTACCTACAGAAGGAGGCACTGTAACGTTGGACGAAGCAACAGCTGCAAAGGTGGCCTCACCAGGAGCACCTCCGGCTTCAAGAAGACGCAATATTTTAGCTTCAAAAAGATCAATTTTAGAAGCAAGTTCTAGTAACGAAAGGGTATTCATCTCCACTTTTTCTGAGATGGGATCAAGAGACAGTGATGGGACTCTTAATAAATCAGTGGCTTCAACAATAAATTCCTGGGATAAGGTCAGATGAGTCCAAAGCAACAAAGACTGTATTATGTCGTCATGCGCGGGTGGATCGAAAGCGCCGCCACGCACTATATCAGGGCGAAATACCCGCAACGAGGGCTATATCAACTTCCTATGAATGTTATATCAACTTCCTGTGAGACGCAAGGGATGGCATGAAGAGCGCTCGAGTGAGGGAGAAGAACAGGAGAAGGCCAGCGACGGCGAAGGGACTAGCGCGAGCACGGATGCAATACGGCGGAGATCGGGGCGAAATACGCACAGCACGAGCTACATCAACTTCCTATGAATGTTATATCAACTTCCTGTGCCAGACGCAATGGATGGCGCGAAGAGCGCTCGAGTGAGGGAGAATAACAGGAGAAGGCCAGCGACGGCGAAGGGACAAGCGCGAGCACGGATGAACGTGAAGTCAGCTCAGAGACGCTCCGGGTCACTACCTGCCAGCAACACGGCGGAGAAGCAGGAAAAAACCGGTCGGAAAACTGGTTTCGGTCGAGACAAACAAGAATGTTTGCGCCATTATCCGTAGCAACGTGGGTCAGACGACATAAATTACTTATGTCATGCCCGTTCGGTACGTTTCCGTATATACCTCACGGACATGACATATCTAATACATATACTAGGCGAATGCATGGCATTTTTGGCGAGCGGGAGCAAGCACACAATGACTGTATCTGCACCAGCCATCCTAGCAGCGCGTAGAAGTCCTGACGCATAACCTCAAGGCTATCTGGGTATATAGAGCCACCATCATCCCAATCACTGCAGTGTTAATATGTTTCTCTCCTATTAGCATCAGTACTTAATGTACTGAAGGTCCCAGACCACACCACGAGGAGGTTGGAGAGAACGTGGTTCAAGCGTGGGGGCGTGTGTGTAAGCACAATATGACATGGAAGAAGTGTGCATGAGAAGATATACAAAAAAAGACACGTTCCTTACCAACCTAACCTAACCTAACCTAACTAAGATGCGAAGAGAGCTAGAGACTGTGACATGACGCTAGGATGCGAAGGGACGACTAACTAGGATGCGAAGAGACGACTAGCTACGGTGCAGGAACCTAACTAGGATGCGAAGGGACGACTAACTAGGATGCAAAGGGACGACTAGCTACGGTGCAGGGCCACCTACGATAAACACAGTGAGGTTAATAAAAATTAAAAATAAAAACTTTTAAGAAAAAATACTTATCTTCAATGTGGAAATACAGTGCAGTTGGGCAGTTGTTGAAAATGTAGTGCCTTCTTCTGTGGTAAAACCACTCATTACATGTTGATGGTAATACCAGTTGTTGATACTTTACCATTGCGGTTGGTTAAATGATGGTAGATGTAAAGTACTGAGTGGTGGATGGCTGTAGAGAGAGAAGCCGCTGGTCTTCTTCTTGTCTGTCCTTGAGACGACTGCTGTTTGAGAGGCTGGAGAGCCGCTGGTAAGGAAATGGTGGCGTAAAGAGCAAGTCTTGGAGGCAACGGACACGAGAGCAGGCAACAAATGTTAGGCCTGTGGAGAACTCTCTCTTGCCGACATCGATGACCACCTTGTCCAGGGTGAGACCCTGAGACTTGTGGATGGTGACTGCCCATGCCAGCTTGAGGGGCAGCTGAAGACGTGAGCATGGGCCTCCTGAGGAAGACCAGGAGCGGCGAAGAGGAGTGATGGGTACTGTGCCGTCAGGGAAGGTGGGGCCGGAGTAGCTGTCAAAGTGGACCATGACAGCGATGGGCAGGTCAGGTGGTCCTCCAGTCCTGTAACAGATGGCCTTGACAGTTCACATTGCTCCGTTGACGAGGCCAGCATCAACCCAGAGGTTGCTGGTGAGCATAACACGGGCTGACCTGGCCAGGCAGATGACTGCCTTCAGTCCTCCTGCATTGTCAGCTGGGGCCTTGGCTGCATTGGGTCCAGTGTGAACTGCCTTGATGGTGGCAATGGGCTGGCCACTGGCCTGCAGCTGAGCCACGTTGTACACTACCACAGCTTCGACAGTGGGGATGAGGTGGAGGGAAGTGGAGAAGGGAGAGAGACCCTGGACTCTTGTGTCATGAGGTGGTTCCAGTCGGCCACTGTTACCTTGGCATCTCTCAGTCTGAGGAGGACGTCTCGGAACTTGACTTGTTCTGGGCCCTGGCCTGCTTGACGCATGACTTGGTCCAGGACCACAGCCAGCTGGAATGTCTGGTAGGCAGCTCTCCCCTGGTCAGAGAGCTCGGAGCGAGAGTCGGTGGTGTAGAGTACCTGACTTGTGAGAAGGCCTGCTGGAGCTTGGTGAGTCTCTCACCCTCCAGGTCCTTGAACTCTCCTCTGGTGGGCAGACTGAGGAGAGAGTGGAGGGTGGAGGGTGCGGCCATCAATGTTGAAGGCAGCCACACCAGTTGGAGCTGCAACTATGACCTGATGCTGAAGGAGAAGTCGGAGACAGTGGATTAGGTAGGACTTCCCTGTGCCCGCTGTGCCAGAGACTATCATCCTGAGGGGTTGAGGACTGTTGTCTGAGTTGTGCTGCTGAACGATTGTGTACACCCGCTGCTGCGTTCCCTGCAGGTTGGCTGGGTCAGCTGTGGTGGTGAGATGTGTTGTCCAGCTCCCTGTCTCTGCTGAGCTATGAAGGACGGAGCCTCATCGTGTTGGGTATGACTGTGCAGCAAGGGTCCAGTCAATATCCTCTTGTGTGTCCATGCTGGGCTGCATGTCTGCATTCTGGCGACAGATCACACCACTCTTCCGTTGCTCGTGATGGTGGAGTAGTGGTTCGCTGTTCCTCTTGCTCCTATACAAACAAAGACACGATGAACTTACAGTTATATTTACATGTAAAAACTGACCTCAGTTTCTTCAGATTCATCTTCATTAGTATGTAATGCTGAAGAAGACGATACATGTCCTTCTCCAGGCAGGGAGGGATCTGGCCAGACTGTAGAAATGCAGCATGGCATTACTGTAACTGTCATACCCAGAGAGTAGGTCGTCCATCTGGCGAAAAGGCTTGTGTTGCATCAGTGAGTGGCGACAGTACTGTTCATACTTCTCCCGAGCAGGATCAGGTGAGACGTACGGTCGAGGGATGACGACAATACGTCTACTCATGGGAGTCGGGCCAGCCCCGAGGGTCTTGGGCATAGAGTACTGGCGGGCAAACTCCAGGAAGGTCATGGGGTTGAAGTGAGGGGAGTCCGGTCGTCCCATGTAGTGGTCGACAATGGAGAGTGCTGTAGCATGCTGCCAGGATCCATGTTGTTTACTGATGATTAAGCTTTAGGACTGTGTTTGTCCCGAACACAACGCAAACACTCCGTACCAAATGGAGTCATCCGGACAGTCAAGCCGGGGAACCTCTCACGGCAGGTGATGCACAGGGACATCTGCAAAGATACCATTTCAGAATGGAATTTGCTTGTCTTTGATTGGACAATTGGCTGGTGAAGTCGAGGTTTGGTTGAAGTAGCTGCACTTGCATGCTGCATGTGACTTTCACGGTCACGCTGGCGTCTTGCTTCAGTCTCTTGTGCAGTCTCTGAGGCAATCCGTTGTTGTTGGCTATGTCCTAACTCCTAAAAGCTGTAGGCGGGCCTCTCTCTCCTCGCTGGACTCGGCAGCAATTCTCTGCTCTTGATTCCTACGTACCTGTTGCAGGCGGGCCTCTCTGTCCTCGCTGGACTCGGCAGCAACTCTCTGGTCTTGATTCCTGCGTACGGGCCCTCTCTCGCTGACTCGGCGCATTCTCTGCTCTGTTCCTGCTACCTGTTGCAGGCGGGCCTCTCTCTCCTCGCTGGACTCGGCAGCAACTCTCTGGTCTTGATTCCTGCATGCCTGTTGCAGACGGGCCTCTCTCTCTTCCCTGGACTCAGCAGCAATTCGCCTTGCCTGGTAGCTTCGGAGCTGTGCGAGCCTGGCCTGTTCAGTTTCCCCTGTTTCTGCAGCGCGTCTAGCTCTTTCTCGTACACGACGTCTCGCTAGTCGTGCTTGCCTTTCTTCTGCTGTTTCAGCGGCGAGGCGTTCCCTTGCCCGTTCCCTATCACGCAGTCGGCGTTGAGCACTTTCTTCGCTGTTTCGGCCGCGAGGCGTTCCCTTGCCCGTTCCCTATCGCGCAGTCGGCGTTGAGAAGCCCGTTCCCTATCACGCAGTCGGCGTTGAGAAAGCCGGGCCTCTCTCTGATCAGGAGTCTCACCGGCACGACGTTGTCTTTCCCGCTCTCTTCGACGACGAAGGGCATCCTCTGTAGACTGATGATCCATGGTTGCCACGGTTGTCAGACTAGCACACATGCATGAAGCATGCAAAGAAGTCGCGCATGCGCACTTACACGACGTACGCGGTCGGTCGTATAAATAATATGTGACCCGCTCTGGGAAAAGGTACAATTCGGCGATTTTCCGATATGCGCGTATATAGCAAAAAAAACTCGATGGTTTTGGCAAATATAGTTTATGACACAGGACTTCCTCTCCTGACTGCTCTCGCTCTCCCTCACCTGCTGTGTTGTCCTCCTCTG